GGGCTGATCCATTTGGCCCAATTTGGGTCTGTCAAGGGCCCAATTACCCCAAGATTAAGTTAATGGGATCACCTCCCATTTCTAACTTAATCATCGTGCTAACTACGAATTTCTTAAGACAGTTACTGCAACTTGCTCCAGTGCGTCAATCGCTTCTTCCGACGAGCTTCCGTCGATCATCCAATGAACCCTCGGTGATGCTCCTGTGGACTTCCGACAAACTCCTGGACTTATGACGATCCACTTGGCAATTTCCGACGAGCTTCTTTGGCAAGCTCTTAGACTTCTCGGATTTGTTCCCGCAGAACCTCCGACGACCGTCTGAACTTCCGTCGAATTCTCGAACCCCCAACGTGATCATAGTCTTGACTCCGGCGCAACTCGTGCTGCATGTCTTACTTTCATCGTAGTTAATCCTACACACTTATCTCAATATATGGATTAGATAACAAATTACAATTGACGTCATCATCAAAATCCGAGATTCAATACTTGGGACTAACAAAGGATGTATATGTGAGGTTGAGCGAGGACCTTTTCACCGATGCCCATGAAAACAATATCACGGTAAGGACCAACAACCACTTCTCCTCTTAGTTCAATCTTATGATTTTCAAATATCATATATCAATATTATGAAAATAAAAATAATTTTTAATTATAAATATCATATTTTATTTTTAAGAAAAGGTGATAAACCTTAGTACAATGATACGATTGCTCCTTTATGATCTAGAAAATTAGGGTTTAAGCCACAAAAATAATCGTTTTAATTATTTAAGATAAGATTGCATATATTAACTCTCCCTAAATCCTACATTGGTAGGAGCCTTTTGGATACGCCTTTTTTATAATTTTCTTTAGACAAAATTTTCTACATGAATTTTTCGAAAACAAAATATTTCTAGAGAAAAATTTAATTTCCTAAAAAGAAAGTTAGGTCATAACTTTATTATTCATATATCAAGAAATAAATTTTTTACCATAAGGAAAAAAATTTATATTAGAATTAATTAATTTTAAAATTATGATTTCCAAAGTTACAGTTTGTACCAAAAAATCTCTTTAACATAATTAGATATTATTAAAATTTTCTGAAAAAATAAATATTAGCTTTCTATTTTAATATTTTTAGGAGGCAAAATTTTCAATTTAATACTAAATAATTTGGAAACTGTAAGTGATGAGATTTGAGCTTTTTGAAAAGAAGAGTAAGTGATGAGATTTGAGCTTAGGATCTTACTTGTTATCTCCTTGCCTTCTAAATACGATAAATTTGATTTGAGACACTACCGCCACCAGATCAATCAATATTTTAGATATAAACTTTTGTGTTTCACTTATTAAGTTATCAGACACAGAGATGCATGCGTACAACCAATTTCTGGTTGGTATTAAAGGGACTAACATCTTCAGTGCCTCTTAATCCGAACTACAAAATGCAGTTTTTTTTAGATTGTTAAAATAGTTATTTAGACTGTTCACGATTTGATAAAAAAAAAACAATAATTAGTGAGAAATTAAAAGAGAAAGTTAAAAGAAGGAGAAAGAAAAAGTAGGACACATTGTCCTAACATTTTATGTTTCTCTCTCCTTTGGACTGTAGCCAAGATGAAGAAGATACGATCGAGTATATTATCCTAGAATTTCTTTTAACAAATTGAGGAGCAAAAATGAGAATATACAAGTCATAATAAGCATCAGTGTCATTTTATCTGGAGACGACACCGGACTCCATTTAAATAACATGTTCTATAGTATCTACTTACTATCTTTCACAAAAACCATAGCGAGTCTCTTTGCTCACCTCAAACCCTCCCGACCGACCGACCTACTTAAAGCCCCACCACAAAGTTCCTGTCATTTTACCAAGATTCTCAAGTACATGAATTTGGAAAAGAGGAAACGAAAAGGTCTACGAAGGGTGAAGCGTGAGAACTGCAGCTAAACGGCTATTGGAACTTCCTCCTCTTCGAGTTATTAAAATCAAAACCGCACTGCCTAAGAGGCTTGAATGAATCATCTGCCTAAAATAAGATCTTGTAGAAAAAATTAGTTTGAGAATTGTTGCTTCTCTCTGATAGAGACGTAGAAAATACAGTCATTATTCCACAGAATACATAAGTTTGAATTAGAACTCTCAGTGTTCCCATGGAGATCCTAAATTTCTCAAGCCGAGCTTCTGTCCGTCGGTGCGGTCGATCATCAATCAAAATATTTTAACATAAAAGTTAACCATAGACCAGAATCTTTAAGCACCAGAAGCATTTAAAAGAGAGATGATACAAGGAATCAGAGAGAAGACTAAACACCAAGCATGCAACATTTTGCATTTTATAGAATGAAAAAAGTTATTCAATATGAGATAATGATTTCACAAAGAGTTCCCATACAAAAGTTATATATATATATATAAACTTTTTGAATGAGAGTGACCTTAAAACTCCCATGTCTTCTTTCAGTGGACTCGGCCACAAAAGTTGTTGCCAATATATTAGTGAAGATAAGTAGCTTCGAAAACATTACAACAATGTAATCCCACAAATTGGTGCACATAATCTGTCACCAGCAAATGTACTCCTCCGATTGGATGATACGCATAAGCTCCTTCAAATTGGCTAACACATGACGTGGCCCCAAACTCTGAACACCAATATAATTCAAAAGCTGCTCCAAATCCTACATAGGCCATAAAAGTTAAAAACGAGTTACAAGCACGTAAACTTTCAGTGCCCTTTATACCAGCAAGACCTGTCCAAATAATTATTTGTGCATTTCTTTTTACAAATCATATAAGATTACATGCATACACTAGTGGAGGTATTGACTGAAAGACCCACACATTCTTTCAGTTCTTGCATCGACACCGTACTGGCCGTTGGCAAAGGTTTGATAAAAATAGTTCTTAAAGCGATATGATCCTAATACCAAATTGCAAGAGGAAAAAACTTTTCTGTTACTCAACATTATTTATAAGTAGGAAATGCAAATGCTGGGAGAAACCATTTACAAGAAAAAAAATTTTAAAATGACTATGTGAACTGTATAAACCTGCTGAATGAAAGGTGAAAATCAATAACAAAGAATTAGCAGAAGATGAAAAAGCAAATCCAACATTTATCACCAACAACCTCTAAGAACAGTAAATTTACATCCAATTAATACCAAAATCAAGTGTCTTTTCATCGAGCACGATTCTGTTTTCAGTAGAGAATTTCAGAACCACTTAAGAAAAGAACATATTGGCATTAATGAACAAGTTTTGAAGGTTATAATAATGAACAAATTTCAAAGGTTGTAAATATAACTTCCCTCTGGTATTTACTCATTACAGGGAACTTATAGAGTGGCTTTCTGGTTTTAGAATGATTACATGAGTTTACTGAAATACATTGGCAACCCAAATTTTCAGATTAAAAATATCATTCTCTTGCAGAAAATCACTTGGCTAGGTGGTCTGCACAAATTTACAAGTTTCACATAGCAGTGAGAGTCAGTTTTCTTTCTTGCAGCTTGACTTTTCAGTTTCATGTGAGTTCTTGTTCATATCAACTCATTTTGGTCGGGAAAAGCTTGAAGTATTGTGATAGTCACTTAAAAATAAACCTTATAAGTGCCTTACTCTCATCAGATAATATCATCATAATCATGGACATTACTGAAAAGATGACTCTTGGTTAAATGAAGAGCGTTTGTGATAGATTCCACAATAATTCAAAAAGAAGAGAACAATACAAAAAACAAACCTTGTTCAGCAAAAATATTGCATACGTTGCTCTTGTGGTATATTGGCCCTCTAGAAAAAGCGGAAATTCTGTGGGCTTGGCAGTCATGCTCGTCGATGCCAGATTTGCCACCAAATCAGACGAAGTCATCTCAACTAAAGGTGCATAATCATGAATGTATGAACGTGAGCCTCCCAAGCGCAAAGGATATCGAAGAGGCACATCAAGGTATGATGAAATAAGTGAGACTGCCTATTGAGACAAGTAAACAAACAAGCATGAATTAAAAGACACATCTATTCTATTCCTGATATATGTTGAGCACAATCTTCAGGTGACATGCTTAGAAGGAAGAAACTTAGCTATATTTTAAATAGCTTTAAGGCAAAAAAAAAAAACAAAGATTGAGGAACAAAACTGTCAGTGGATATTCAGTTAAGTCAAGCCATTATCTTACAAAGGTCAAAAATTCAGATGATAAACTTACATGTGCAACATAACCCAAAGCATTTGCAGACTTCTGGACCTCCTTCTTGTCACCAAAAAATTTCTTTTTTGAAGGAAGTATAGTTAGTTGGAGACCTAATATTGTCAATGATGATGAGTGTGAAGGTCTGGACTCATTTGGTGAGGGTGATCCAGTAGAATATCCTGAAAGCAATTTTGTTCATCACAATGACTACTAATGTAGACAGAAAACACAGTGCAGACACATTAAAAGGTTCTCATTAAAACAATAAAATTAACGGTTATGCTCTTTCACCTGTTTTTCATCTTATAAAAATATACAATAATAAATAAAATTAAGGCATCAGATGCAATACAAAGCTAACCACAAATATAACTTTAATAAGTTAAATCAAAATTTTGCAAACATAAACAAAGATATATTAGCTTTAGCAGATGGATGTTGTATATGCTTATTATTTAAGCAAAAGACAATACCTTTGCATTAATAACCAAGAAGTTCCCGGATTCAGACCACTTTCTATAGAATGCATTTTTTGTCTAAAAACTTGACACCACAGAAGGATAGTATTCTCAAATCACTCTTTCCACTAAAGTTAAAGCAATTTAAAATAAAAAAGAAGATATATTAAATAAAATCCGATAACTAGTCCTACATCAGACAGAATTCTTTGAAAGATTAACATAAAGGACAAAACCCAAGAAAAAATAATAAAAATTAATCTAAACCGTAAGGCTTGGCAACAAAATGAAATAATGTTAGGAGCTTCTACAGATTAGAAGGTTACACATTATTTTCTACATGATGTAAGTGCCTTGTCCTGAAAAGAGAGTTTGTTTCAAATCAGGAGGCTGTTCAGAGTCAACAACACCAAGCTACATTTTCTAAAATCAGACTTACAATGTGGATTTGGTCATGCAAATGACCATCAAGATCAAACTAGGTGTGCCACATTAATCAATATAAATTAAAGGATTGGCTTTTGAAAAAAAAATACCATCTAAAAATCTAAAAATTTAAATAACCAGAAAAAAAGTTTAAGAAAATAAAGAATTAGAAATAATTTAAAAATTCAACATAAAGACTAACTAATATCTCTATCTTGTTCTACCATATAATATATTACCATATTTATGTAATATGCTAATTATATATTTAAATGTAACCATGAAACAAAAGTCTTTATTAGTATGTTTTGTCTCGAGGGTTTATATTTCAACCCCACCAATTGGTACAGACTGACAAACCTGCTTCTTGACTAGTATTGTTTGATAAAATATTTTAGTTTTCATCATAATGATTGGTTCAGACCAATACTTACCAATCTGATTGCCAACCAATATGCAAACCGATAATTTTGGCCATTACAGTATGTGGACTGGACAATTTCATCCAATTTGTTTTGATACACCCAGTACACTTATCATTTCAAGTGTACAGACCAGAGAACATAACAGTACGAATTTGCTGTGTGCAGGTCTCTCCTCCTCTCAAAAAAGCGACAAGCCTAGCTTTAAAATCTAGGCACAATGTTGAACAACGAACATCTGGTATAGATGCCTCGGTTTCAAACTTCCTTTAATGCAATCAGGCCAGACTTTCAAAGTTGTTGTAGTTGTACTACTCAAAATCTGTATCAAGTTGTTTCAACCAAAGAAGTGTTTTCCTCTGCATCACTTTAACTCCATGTCAATGAAGTTCAAGCACAGTGACAAAGACATTTAGTAAAAGCAGATCACCCTGATTCAAGGATCAAGATGTAAGATTCCTGACCAATATCATGCTTGAGATTAGCAACATCAACCCTCCTCATCGCAGGAAAATAAGGGTAGTTATTACAACACAATTTGGATCCAACAAACATGGCATGTTCAAAAAATCTATGGGGCCTTGTATGAGGCAGCCAAATCTATTCCAATAGGACCAATCATGGTGGTTGACTTCACAACAGACATGGATGTTGACATGATGATTTACAAGGCCTATTTTGACTAAAAGGTGATATGGATTGCAGCTGACAGAATTCGAAAGACTCGATGGTCAAAGGAAAATCTAATTGCAATTGGGAGATGTTCCAAATCCATCTCCCTAAACTAAGTTGGCAGGTAGTACTAATTCAACTAGAACTAAAAATAAATTTTGATTGTCTAAGTCAGTATGGACCAGTATTCATCAGTATGACCATGGACCAATGCTACACCATATTGATCAATACTGGTTGGGTTTTTATCCTGGTAATACTGAGCAATATGGATTAGCATACTGCATAGTATACAGGTACCATGCTGGTCCAATCAGTTACCGGAACCAGTATCTCACCAAGATTTAATAGGCACTTTTTCCTAATCCTAAGGAAGTGGTACTATAAAGATACTATGTGCATAATGTTATTGTACTGGAATAGTATTATAGCATCAGATTATCATGTCTTGTGTATTAAGTAGAGATGTCTAAAGAACTTGGATTACCAGTTATGCAGATGATTGCAAGGTTTCGAGACCTATGCTTGAATGATTTTTTGACTTCATTGCAGCAACTTCATGTTATTATGTAGTTTACTCTACTAGATAATAGATCTAGAAATCCACTTCCGTTATGAACTAAAGAAGGAAGTGTTAGAGGCAAAACTAAAAGAAAGTGCAAAACGCCAATATGGAGCCTATTTGAAGGTGCTGGCTACGGTAAAGATTTTGAAAGCTTATGGCAAGGTCCTAGGCTCGAATTCCGCATTCACCATTTACCTTATGCGAAAAAAAATATGAAGCCTATATGTAAGACTATAACACTAACTTTATTCAAATTCTTTGAACTGGTTCAATATTTTTCCTATTAATTCACTAGAAAACATTCTATGAATTAAGTAGGGACCCAATTAGCAATTACTATGGAGCAACTACATGATGATTTGTACCACTAAGCTTTGTTTATAACAATATCCATTTATCACTAGTCAAACTAGGGGCTATAAAATTTCTTTTATTGTTTCTTATAAAATGTTAGCATACATCTACCTGTCATTACACCATAATTCCAAATTGACTCACCTTTAATGGTGCATTTGTGAGTCTTCTTTTAACATGTCAATACCACAATAAATGGAAATCCCTCATTCAATTGAGGAAAATTACCCCTAAATTTTCATCAATGTATTCTTTTTTATTTTTCTTTTTTGTAGTAACTCATGCATCCGTCTCAACAACGTGGTCTTCTATATGTTGTTTCGTACTTGTCCAATGATCTAAAATTTAAGCGGGTAATTATACGAGATTATATTTAGCCTGTCAATTAATTTAAAGATGAGAACTTACCCATATACACAGATTGATAGGATTAACAAACTTAAAATCTTACCATCAGAATGTGAATCAATTGTCTCCCCAAATGCCTGTTCGTTCATACCCTTGACTGGGTAAAGTGTTGAAACCTGAATTATCATATGTTGTTGCCTCAACCGTAGCAGCTTCTGCAGGTTTTTCAGATTACCATAACCCCTTTCTCCAGATAGCAATCTATTAGCTTCCTACACCAAAAGAATAAGTGGGCAGATTAGTGTCATAAGTTAGTTGGCGTAAACCAATAAAACAGAAAAACGATACAGCATTTCTTGAATAATTAAAATCAATTACAGGAATCAACAACTTAATTGTTGATTTTAATTCTTGAGTAATTAAAATCAGCATTTCTTGACTAACTGCTATAGGAATAAAATAAGGATACACATGCACCCAATCTTCTCAACATTAAGTGCTCTTTAACTCAGGGGTGCCTATTTAATTAATCCCAGTACCTGCAGTTGCTGGTGGGCTGCATCGAGGGTCTTGCCAGCTACCAGCAACATTCTGATGGCAGCAGAAAGCTGATCCTTTTGGTTCTTAACATTTTCTGATGTCTTGTTAAAGTGCATTGAAGAACTTGACAATGCAAGCCTCTTAACTTCCAACTTCTGTTTCATTTCCTCTAGCTCATTGTGTTGACGTATTGATTCTTTCCTCACCTGTTCACCATATTACCATGCCGCTAACCAGTGAACTAATTAGCCAAAGCTCAGAAAAGTGACATATGCAGAAGAAACCAAGCAATTACCCGACAAGAAGAAAAGGAAAGTTGCTATAATAATAATGACCAAATCGAAACAGAACATTATTGCAATGATAGTTCTGGAATCAACACTGCAACAACCTACCAAAAATGTGAATTATTCATCAAATAAAACTACCCTCCTAACAATTTGTTTTCACCGTATATAAACAAATATTTATTCAAGAAGAAGGCAAAAGATATGATCCAGTTTGATTCTAGCTCATTCTATTTTCAGCAACTCTACTGGAACATGTGGTGCTGAGGGAGGAGCTGTGATAACTAATATCAAAAGGAGATACAAAGGAAACCATTTTGAGTTAAAAATGGCAGTCTTTACTATCTGCTCCAACAGTTCCATGCAAATATTTAGTGAAAAGGAAATTCTGAATCCCAATAAATTCAAGGGACTGGTCCCTCGATTTAATTTGATACGATCATTGCAAACTAAAATTCGCGAGATAAGAATGAAAGAGCCAACCAGTTGTCCTCTGACTGAAACCAAGAGTGTCAGAAGGCTAAAGACGAAATCTTTCCGCTAAAATCGAAACCCTAGAGACATGATGCCAAAACACAAAACCTACCTCGATTATCGATTCCAGCCGCCGGGCGAGGGACGCCTTCCTCTCCTTGGCCTTTCCAAGGGCCGACGAGAGGCTCCAAAGGCGAGCAAGCTCCTGCTGCAGGTCCTCCCAGTCGACAATCTTGGGGTTGTCGGCGCCTTCGATCGCCTCGCCGTCAAAGTTCATCCGAGTGGCCACGTCCGTGGATCCATCGGGGGAGCGATCTGGTACGTTGATCCCGTCGGTATCCATCGGCGAAAGAGTTCTTCATCGTCTCTGAGGGGGAACGACGGCGGTGGCCGAGCTCATCAGAGGTAATTCATGTCTAAAGTGACCCGAAATGGGGAACGTGGGCAGTTCGGGGAACCTCTTCTTTTGGTGCGGGGGAAAGGAGATCGATGCGATGAATTCCAGGGCTAATTACATATTTATGTTCCCTCTGGTGCTTGGATTTTAAATAATTTTTTTTTAAAAAAATTAATTTAAAAATTACCATAATTAATTTTCTTTTTATATATTGGTATCCTCATAATTTAAAATTACTATATTTGACTCTTATTTTTAACAACACCTTCTCATCCTTTGACGAATCCCCTGCACGTGACATCATGTGACTAATCCCCATCAAACTAACGCAAAATGAACATTGTAACTTAAAACTTCATCTACCAGTTTTTCCCAAATCAAAACTCGACTCGAATCCTCATCGAAAAATTTTAATTAGGGTCCTGTTGAATCCCGCTTCCACCGTACCCGCCCAGCTCGCTCTGCCCAGTCCCAGACACCACCGTAGCAACTCGGCGTCCTCCTCCTTACTTGCATTATGGATTACACTAAACTTCAAAGAGAACTTGGTGAGCTCTGTGACCCTCCTCACAACGTATGGTAGCTCTTGGAGACCTTCTGCATGCAGCTTGGTTTCTGCAGCGTCAAGCTCGCTCAAAGGCCAAGGGGAAGAGAATTAGATGACCTGTTGCCGGAGCTTCACACGGGGCACCGCAAAAGTTCACCGCACTTTGAGACAAAGATGGCTGCGACGTAACATCATCTGCGGCTTGTTCGCCAACGGGAACAGATGCTCCAAGCTTTGGTGTCTCAAGGTCCCAGTTCCTGAAGCTTAATGATCGCTCCATCACAGCGTCATGGGACACACCAGAGACCATCATGTTCGACGAATTGCTCCTTCGGAAACCGAATGATCTCAAGATCCTATTGGCCTCCTTTTCACCAAGGCTAATGGATCTGGCTGCAGCAAACCAATTCCACGAGAGCAAGAAGAAAAAGCCCATGGAAGTGCTGTCCTTGTTAGATTCTGAAGGACCATAAGATTGTCGAGTTCCAACTACAATAACCATGTCATGGAACAGTAAAGCTAGCATCATCGCATATAACATCAAGAAACGTAACCCTTTGCCCTCTCCAACAAATATATGAAGAGGCAGAACAAAGAGGGAGTGGAACCCAACAAATATATATATATATATATATATATATATATATATATATATATATATATACTACAGTACACCTTCCTGGAAACTAAACTTCGTGAGCGAAGTGACTAGGTTGATGACGTATGAGCGTATAGTGGGTGAAATAATTATTTTATTTTTTACTTAATCGTTAATTCTGATGTTATGTGCATAAGATTTCATTAAAAATATATGTTATCACGTACGTTTGTAATGCACCCGTAATACTTTTGTGAACGGATCGTTCATGTCATGCCACCGGAATTTAATTTTCATTCAGGAGATATAAATCTAACTCAAAATTGATAATATTATAATTCAACAAACAATCCAGGATTCAATCACACATTTGAGGTCACTAAGAAAAACATTCAAGTCATTCACCTATATAATCCATAATTCACAAAATTTATGTAATTTATAATCATACATCATGTCACTAGATGATTCTTAAAATCCAAAGGTAACTTAACTAAACCATAACCACATCATAAATCCATAGTTGTGAGAATCTATACAATTACAAAACCAACATGTACCACATGTTTATATCATTCATTACATAATTTTAACTTAACATTCTCAAAGTCCTAACATGAGAGGTACTTTTCAAATATTTACAATATACATCAATCTAGATTTATTGTTGATACACACAAAAAGAACTTATACAACATCAACATATCAAGTACGAAAGATTTGCCCTAAAATCTTCTAGTTTCCCACTGCCTCAACCCAAACTATATATTTTAGCGAGCGATAAGCTATCCTGAAAAATTTATATATCAATGGGGTGAGCATATAAAGCTCAGCACATGACTAATATATCCATAGCAAAGAGGATAGTTTTTCAAACAAATAAGGTATCAAAAATATAAAGCAGAGATACAAGATGAAACAGAAGCATGTGTTGTTTGAATGCAGAATTACGATGTTATTTCGTTCGAAGCATGTTTTGTTCATATAATCGAGAAAAGGTAATTGGAGGAGCATATCCATGGCATATGGTAATTTCAAGGTATAACAAAGACTTATAACATTTCGAAAACATATCAAAGAACAAAACATGAATAGAAGCTCAAATGTCACATGACGATGCATTCATTTCATTCTTATCCAAAGCATGCATAGAAACATAGCCAAAGCTTTGGATATCATATCAAACACATAGAAGGTGAAGTGGGATCATAACATAATATGGTCCATCTATTTCTGAATGACCACTAAACATAAGTCTCCCACGTTTGGGAGCTCCATCCACCCACATCTGAGTGAAGTCATAGGGAGCCGGCAAAGCATTGCGGGCTCTAAGCATAACTCCCTTTACCATTTCTGGCAAATGTTTACATTTATCCCACAAACACCAGAGTACAAAGGGACAGTATAAATAATAAAATTAGCATATATCGGAAGCACATGCGGAACAACGAAATGTACATATGCCTTTCGAGTCAATACGATACAAACATAATCTTTCACAAATGTATTTCAGATTTGAAAGAAAACAAAAGCAAGAGCATACAAGGATTTCAAGAAATCACATATAGCTCAATTGAAATAAGAAAGTTAGATAAATTCAATATCCAAAGAAATGAAACTAGAAGAGGCACGTATCGAAAGCAAATGCGAAATAATAGGATGCATGTGCTGAATCATTACGATGCAAACATGAACTTTAGATGATAGCTGCAGATATACAAATAAATAAAGGATAAAAGTATATAGGAATTTAAGATAATAATGTAAAGCTTAACTAAAGTAAGAGTTTTTGCCGAAATCGATTTTCAAATAGAAGAAACAAGAAAAGCCGAAATCGACCAAAGCTCGATTCTGACAAAATTTGATAGGAACATTGTATGAACTATTTGGATAACCAACTATACTCCAATTTATACAAAATAGGTGTCATTAGAAAGCTTTGTCAATCTAGTTTTAGGAAATCAAGCTTTATAAGAATTGGAATTTACAACAGGGAGTTACAGATAATTTTGTAGTGAAAGGTCTAAAAATATTAGCTTTGTTTTACTGAATCCATAGGGTCGATGAAAGTAGATATTTCAGTTATCAATTGTACTCCAAAAATTTCAAATCAGATATATACAGAAAGAATTTTGAGTCTAGCTATGAATAAATTATACTTTGTATCAATCTGAGTTCACAACAGAAAGTTATAAGTAGTTAAGCAACAAGAGGTCAGAAATTTCAGTCCCTATTTTGCAAAATCTATAGGGTTAATTTAAACAGAAGTCTTAGTAGGCATTTAAACTCCAAATCATTCGATCTTAGTATCAAAATAAAGATTTTTTTGCCTACTTTCAAATGGAATAGTTTTGTCTAAATCAGAGTTTATTACAAAATGTTATGACCGAAACATTACATAGAGGTCAGATTACCGAAAACTTACAATTCATAGCTTTATGTCAAAACAAAAGAAGGTCTGGTTCTCAATTGAAATCTTTCAAATTTTACAGAATAAAAATGGAAACAGAGATTAAGGTTACTATGGGATGGGGTTAGAACACTTGTCTTAAAATTATTTGAATCCCAAATGTAGGAAAATTGATGAAAAAAACCTCAAGCTCTTCTTCTTCTTCTTCTTCTTCTTCTTCTTCTTCCCCTCGCTTCTCAAACTCACATTGGCTGCAACTCTTTAGGTTTGTTTTCTTTAACCTTTCATCTAATTCTTTTTTTTTTTAGTTTTGGCTAATGCAAAAGTTGCAATGTGTCATGCATACATGAAAGGGGCTAGGTATCATCTTTAGAGTAAACATAAGTGGCACCATTAGGTTAGCTAGTGACACATGTCCACTATTTTTTTTTTTAACTTAAATCTGAATATTTCATAAATTATATCAAACTTCTAATATTTATTCTTAGGTCCCTAGCCATAAACTTTTAATATAATATCATTTAATATAAAATAATTATTAAATAATCCTTATTTTTATAAACAAACCTTTTACTAAATTTTCAAAAATGGGGGATGTTACAGTTCATCATTTTTTTTACTTGTATATAAGTTTACTAATATATTTTTTTCTTATTTTTATATATTTTATTTAAAAATTCTGAGCAAAAATAATTTACAGGACTATAGAACCATCGCTCACTAGAATCGGCAACACTATCTCATAATGATCCTATTATAAAACGTCAACCATCTCAACACTCTAAAACCACTTGGGTGGCATAGAGCTAAAAGGGAGTTTGGGATATTGTTAGGCATTGATTAGATTCACAAATTTTTACATACCTATAGGAACTTACCAACATGCCCGACACCTAGTGATTAGTTGTTTGTAGACTTGTGACTATTCATTTTACTTTCTAAAGTTTTTGTTTCTCTTTCTTCTCTTTTTTTCTCTTACATATCAAGTGTTTATTGAATTACTTATAAAGTTACTCTCTTTGCAAGATAATGAAACTTGTCTATCATTCATTTTCGGAACTAATCAATTTATTTTTTTATAAAACCTTCAAGACTTGAGCGAGGTTGCAATCAAGCTAACCCTTTGTGAATGAATAATACAATAATGCTTCATAACTTAAGCAATTCTAGCTAAGTTGGGACATTGTGGTATTGGAGCAGGCAAGTAGTTCAAGCAAATAGCAAAAGTTCATAATCTCGTCATAGCAAAGCACCATGGTGAATCGAGCAAGACGGGGCAAGCTGGACCATTGTCCTAAGTAGCCATAGGTGGGCTATAAGTGCAAACTCGCACTCAAGATTTTGGAGCTGCTCAAGAGAAGTGCGATAGCAAAAATGACAAGCAAGAAGTTGATTCTTCTCCGTAAATAGAAGAAGCATAATCTAGAGTACCAATTGTAAAAAGAAGTCATAAGAAAAGACTTCCAATTGTAAAAATTTGTCTTAATATTTTCGAAGCGAGTCTAGAAAAACTCTACCAAGGCCA